GTATTGAATGCCTCCATACCTGCTAAGTTGGTTAGTGGGCCAATTCACAGGTACCAGGTGAGAAAGGTAACTATAAATAAGGTTAACTTTACTTATTTTCTAAAGGCTGATTTTTATATATATTCCATAAAATATTATTAGAAAATTCCACACCTGTAATTTTGAACCAATCAAAATACGTGTTTTTGACAGATCACCATGGCAACGGAGGTATTTTAGTGGAAATTTTTTTCTCGTGGGGTACCCAAGAGCGAATTATACTGGAAATTTTTTGACGTTTACAATAACAGACCATTTTTGACAAACTGGTTTTTATTTGTTCACATAATAGGTTTAGTTTTGATACATTTTAGTTACAATGCTAAGGTGTTTTCTATATTCTTCGGCCACTTCTTTTCTTCTTAATGGCGAAAATGCAGGACTTTGGATGCTTTGAATTATGTGTCTATGTCTAATAAAATATATATAATATTTAGACACTAATTTATTCACCTTTTTCCCATTCAGCACTTTGAATTTTGCGTAGTTTAGGTGCAAATATTCGTGGACAATTCGGAACAAATTTTCGTTTTTCAAGTTGGAGCCACAATCCTCTATTAATCCGAGTACGTAAGTCATGGTGCAATGATTGATCATTACATCAGACAATTTCACGCATATTTTGCATAGCGTATGATTTTCAAATCGATTCATTTTTAAAACAAATAGGTAATTTTGTTGGTTTTACTTGCTGTGCAATATTCTTTATCGAAACAAAACGCGAGTTATTTAATGTTTTGAACTGTCACAATACAATGATCCTCCTACGATTGATGCTTGCTGACGCCGGTTATGAATTTCATACCATTTTAAAGCGCTTATAACGCATGTTAATAAAAACGCAGAAAAACAATTTTCTACCGCTTGTAGTTATTCAAAACTTACGTAAAATTAAAGAATATACTCTTTTCTATTTTCAAATGGTATTCCCATGCAACTACAATGAGTAGAAATAAGCAATTTGAAGGCCTAAATAATTGCAGCGAAACATTTTTTTACGTCGAGCCGCTTGACAACTTCAAAACTGAATTTATATTCGAGGTTAGGGTCTCACTTAGTTACCATGACAACTCAACAATCAAGGCGACAACACCTTTTATGTTTCACTGGTGACTTGGAGAAAATAATTTGCATTGTTGAGAAACGAAAAATAAATTTTAAAAATATTTAATTTTCAACCATAATTCGGCGTGGAATTTTCTTACCGAATACCACGCGAGGTCAAATTAATATCAGGAAATTTTTTGACCTCTAGTGGTATTACTAGTGAAAATAATATTGAACATTGCCAGACACTTTCCGTGGGCCATAACTTCCGCTAGACGCTTTAAAGCTCCAAATTTTTTTTTGTAACTTTACTTATATTCTAATGTCTGGTTTTTATATATATTATTTAAAGAACTATTCTAAACATATATTTATTCAGCACGAGCATATAGTACAGTCGCGCATACTCACGGCTAAATGTTTTTGATGTCTGGGGGATGTTTGGCCCTTACAATTAGTCTGGCTAAATAAATATATGTTTAAAATAGTTCTTATATAACATATATAAAAACCAGACATTAGAAGAAGCCTTTAGAAAATAAGTAAAGTTAACCTTATTTATAGTTACCTTTCTCACCTGGTACCTGTGAATTGGCCCACTAACCAGTTTAGCAGGTATGGAGGCATTCAATACATATATAAACACTACTTGATGCCCCACATTTTGTCCTTTAGAAAATAAGTTATGTCTGGGGCACTGGGCTCTTACTCTATAAAAAAGCACGTTCAATGAGAAGGCTGACACTCAGACTCATCGATAATTTTTTTAATGTTTGC